GTATGCAATGTGTTAATTATTGAAACTGTCCTACCAATTTGATTTGAAACTGTCTCATTGCTATTTGTTTATCAATAAAAGTATGGAAAAAATGAAGTAAAGCCATGTTGTTATGTTGAGCTGTAGGGGGACTCAGTTCTACAATTTCTGACATTGGGGGCCTGCCCCTTAGCTTAATTCTTTAAGTGGCTGCTTCAACAAAGCGGTCAGGCTCAGCTTGCTGTGGTTCGATCCCCACAATTCAAGCCAGCCAAACCTGTCCTGAAGGCATTTGGAGCCAAAAAAAAAAAATCCTTCTACAATTTCTGACATTGCCAGTGAAGTGGAAGACTCAATGCTATTATGGACTACTGGACTATTTTAGAATATTTTACTGAGTTAACACACCCTATAATATTCAAATAATGGAACTAAACAAAAAAAGGAGATACAGATGAATGTCCATTTTGTATCTGTGTATTCAAAGTGGTTAGGATAGATATATAGTTACACTCTCTTAATGAATAGAGGGATTTGTTCTAATAGTGTTTGTAAATAGTTATGTCCGCATCTTGTACAGCAATTAACACTAGGAAGAATGTATGCAATGTGTTGTTTATTGAAACTGTCCTACAAATTTGGTTGGAAACTGTCTCATTGCTATTTGTTTCTCAATAAAATTATGGCAAAAAACCAAAAAGAATACAATACAATATCATTTCCTTGCCTGTGGAAGGAAATGATAAATTTCAGAGCAGTAAATAATGCAACTGAAGCTAAGAAAACAACACAAAGGAGTCAATGAATGGAAGAATTGATCTATGAAGGTTAAATAAAATTGAGAAGGCTTAGCCAGTCTTATCCAAAAAAGAGACACAAATCTATGCAATTAGGAATGGTAAACGTGAATAACAACAGATTCTTCAGAAATTCATTAATATCTACCTTGAGAACATGTATTCCAATAACATGGAAAACAGAAGAAATGGAAAGATTCCTTGATACACATGAATTACCAAAGCTGAATCAAGAAGATTTAGAAATTCTGAACAACACAGTGTCAGTCAATGAAATTGAAGATGTAATTAAAAACCTACCCAGAAAGAAAATCACAGGTCAGGATGGCTTTATATCTGAATTCTACAAGAACTATAGGAAAGATTTAGTGCTGCTATTTTTAACATCTTTAATAAAATTGAAAGTGAAGCAAAACTCTCAAGCTACTTCCTGGAAGGAAGCATTGCTCTGATAACAAAACCAGAGAAGGGTTCGACCAAAAAGAGAATCATAGGCCAATCTCACTAATGATTATAGATGCGAAAATCCTTAGTAAGATACTGGCCAGCAGAATGCAGCAAATCATCAAGAAGATTACAAACAATTGAACTAGTATGTTTCATTCCAGGTATGCATATGCAAATCAATAAATGCAACACACTGTGATATTAATAGAGCCAAGGAGGAAAACCATATGATTATTTTAATAGATGCAGAAAAACACTTGACAAAGTCCAACATCCATTCACGGTAAAAAAAAAAAAAAATCCCTACAGAAAATTGGAATAGGTGGTCTTTATTTCAATCTAATGAAACATATCTATGACGAACCAAGAGCCGACATCATACTAAATGGTCTAAAGTTTTCAGTCTTAAATCAGGAACAAGACAAGATATTCGTAATTACCACTCTTATTCAACATAGTTCTTGAAACATTAGACATGAGAAATTGGAAAAGTGGAAGAAAAGAATAAGGACAGGAAAGGAAGTTAAGTTATCTTTTTTGGTGGATGATGGGATACCCTGCATAGAGCACCCCCAAAACTCCACCAGAGATTTCTAGATTTAATAGCCAAAATCAACAGTCAGAAACCTAAAGCATTCCTGTACACAAATAACTAACACATTGAGAGAGAAATTAAGGATAGAGTACCTTTCATGACAGCATCCAAAAAATGAAATACTTGGAAATTAATCTAACAAAGGAAATAAAAGATCTATACAGTGAAAACCTGTACAATGAAAACTAGAGGACTCTGGAAAAGGAGGTTGCATAGGACATCAAAAAATGGAAAGACATTTCTTGCTCTTGGGGAGGAAGAGCCAGTACAGTGAACATGGCCATAGCTCCAGAACAGTTTTATGGACTTAATGCAATACTGATCAAAATACTAATAGCAGAACTTACCAAATTAGAGAAAACAAACACTTAATTCATTTGACACCAGAAAGAGAGAGTAGCAACAGCACTTCCCGGCAACAAGAACAAGCAAAGCTGGGAGATGAAGTTTTTTACACATGATTTTCTAACCATTTTGTTGATTTTTTTCTTTTCTACCATCATATTTTTCAACTAGCACAGGCCCTTGTTTTCTTCTTCTTATTTCATTTTTCCTGTCCCACATATGAGGATACTGTTATCTTTTGAAGTTTCCATATTCACGACACTGTCTGTTTCTTCCAAGTTAATCTTACTTTACTGGTTTTCTCCCCATATTTCCCCTTGTTTGGAGATTTTTGATTAGTGGCTCAATCCCCTGGGTCTGTTTAGATTTTCTCTTTTATTGTGATTCAGTTGTAGAGTTTTTAGGAATGTATCCACTTCTCCTGGGTTATTTAATTAGATGTATTTGATTATTAGGAGTCATTTCTTACAATCATTTGTGTCTCTGTAGCATTATTGTAATGACTCCTATTTAATTTCTGATTTTGTTGAGTCTTCTCTCTTTTCTCTTGGTTTAGATGAAAATATTGGGACCTAATGAAAACTTACATGATACTATGAGATAGGCACAAAATATATCTGCAGGTGGGTATTATGTATTGTGCAGCTTTTGAAAATAACAACTAATGTTAGAAGTAGCTGTTGATGCAATTAAAACAGGTTCACTCTGGTGAGTGATATTATTATGGCACCATCATTAGTAGGAAATAGGAGCAAACATATTGTGTAAACTGGTATAAATTTCATCACTTTCTTCCTTTTGTGAGACATGAGCTAT